CCTGATTGATCAATCGGTGGGCAGGATATTCTTGTGCTGATCAGAAAAAACTGACCTGATGATTTAGAGCACATATACTGAGTACAGTTATCTTGTGAATCCTTATAGAGCTTTCCCACCTGAGTAATAAAAAATAACATCCTGAAAGAGGCAGTCAAAACAGGAATAAGAGCAACAACAATACAGGTAAATGAGCAAAAGGGAAACTAGAGTTTTCATTGATGCATAGGACTTTAATAGGGCCTTAGAAGAACAAGTCCCACAGACATACAGCTAATATGTAAGATTTACCTAAGCAAAGCTTGGCATATGTTGATCCAGACCATGAGTCCATTAAGATCAGGGTCCTCCAACTGGCATCAGTTTTCTATATCCTTGGCAGAGAAAGGTCCTTCTCAGCACCTGCTACCTGAGTTCCTTTAACTGCCAGGGATTTAATCTGAGACTTTCTGTATACCAAGGCAAGAATATGTTCCACCTCTCTTCCAATAGGTGTATTCCCTGGGCTAAAAGTTGCAGAAGGTCTGATGTATATTCAGATGCTTTTGGCTGAGTCTCATTGATTGGGAGAGTAACAGGTTATATTTTAAATTAATTAAAATACAGTAAAAGAACATGTCCTTAAAATGCCAAGCTCATATTAAGATACGCATTCGAACAGAAGATTAAGAAGATAAAATATAGTTTAAGCATTTGCTTTCTTTTAGTTTGGTGGACATTTAAAAATAACCCAGAAGAAGAATGTCAGTGAAAGAGCACTGTTATAATATTGATCTGTATCTTCAGAAAGGGTTTCAAATTGGTTTAATTGTTTATTTTTACCAACCAATGGGATAATTTGTTGAAAAGCATGGTACAACTGTTGATATTGAAACCATGGGATTTGAATTTGATGTTTCTTTCTTTCTTTTTTCTTCTTTTTTAAAGTTTTATTTTGATTTTTACAAGGAAAAGATGAATTTGATGTTTCAAAGTAAGTTGATCTATGGTTCCTAGATTTCCAAGTTTGTCCCAGGACTGCCATCACTGGGGATGGAGATGGACCTAAAACTCTCCCCTAACTTTATCCCATAACTTTAGAATATGGGCCCAATATGGATTCCTACTGGGTTGCCATAATCTGTCTTCATTCCCTATAGCTTCATGTAATAATGAGTTTACTAGAGAGGACCGTTCTATTTGGACCCAGGTTGGGGTAGCATAAAAGAGTATATCATTTAACTGAGCTGAAAAATAATGCGCTGATAAATTAGGAAGATCCAGTCCTCCCAATGACTTAGGTTTTAACAAAAGTTGAAAAGAGATCCAGGGGGTTTTTTTTGTTCCAAAGGAATGAAACAAACATTCTCTGCCATTTCTTTAAAAAACTTGTTTCCACTGGTATTGGTAAATTTTGAAATATAAATAAAAACTTGGGAAATAAAAAGGACTCTACCAAATCGACTTTTTCCATCAGCGAGAAATGTAAAAAAAAAATCTTTTAAAAAAGAAAGAAACTAGCAGTGGAAATGGAGCCACAAAAAGTGGGAGAGCCATAAGCCACATTCACCCTGACAAGTCATTTCTACCACATGTTCCTTCATTACCCAAAGCAATTCCTACTCATGCCACCCACAGAGGCTCTGAACCACGATAGCTGGAAACTCCAGAAGTTCACTGGCTTCATAAAAGTGAAGCACATCTCTAAAAATACTTACTGGGATACACCCTGATTGATCAATCGGTGGGCAGGATATTCTTGTGCTGATCAGAAAAAACTGACCGGATGATTTAGAGCACATATACTGAGTACAGTTATCTTGTGAATCCTTATAGAGCTTTCCCACCTGAGTAATAAAAAATAACATCCTGAAAGAGGCAGTCAAAACAGGAATAAGAGCAACAACAATACAGGTAAATGAGCAAAAGGGAAACTAGAGTTTTCATTGATGCATAGGACTTTAATAGGGCCTTAGAAGAACAAGTCCCACAGACATACAGCTAATATGTAAGATTTACCTAAGCAAAGCTTGGCATATGTTGATCCAGACCATGAGTCCATTAAGATCAGGGTCCTCCAACTGGCATCAGTTTTCTATATCCTTGGCAGAGAAAGGTCCTTCTCAGCACCTGCTACCTGAGTTCCTTTAACTGCCAGGGATTTAATCTGAGACTTTCTGTATACCAAGGCAAGAATATGTTCCACCTCTCTTTCAATAGGTGTATTCCCTGGGCTAAAAGTTGCAGAAGGTCTGATGTATATTCAGATGCTTTTGGCTGAGTCTCATTGATTGGGAGAGTAACAGGTTATATTTTAAATTAATTAAAATACAGTAAAAGAACATGTCCTTAAAATGCCAAGCTCATATTAAGATACGCATTCGAACAGAAGATTAAGAAGATAAAATATAGTTTAAGCATTTGCTTTCTTTTAGTTTGGTGGACATTTAAAAATAACCCAGAAGAAGAATGTCAGTGAAAGAGCACTGTTATAATATTGATCTGTATCTTCAGAAAGGGAGGGGGGGGAAACCTGTGTTTATGTTCATGGACAGATTCTATGCATGTTACATTAAAGAATGCTGAAAACAAAAAGTATTAAGCAAAATGTCTTCTACAGAAAGATGTTATAGCATGTAACTGGATATTAATACTCTAACCAGGCTCAATATAAGATCAGGAAACTAAAACAGGATTAGTTGATGTATCAGTGACTATTCTGATCAATAAAACAAAATCATCTCCTATGCCATGTTTTCTGGGTTCCAAGGGCCTGGAAAGCAGTTCCGTAGCCAGGTACAGGTTTGCCAACTCTGGGTTGGGAAATACCTGTAGATTTGAGGGGGAGGGCAGGGTTTGAGGTGAGGAGGGACCTCAGCAGGGTATAATGCCACAGAGTCCACTGCCCAAAGCAGCCATTTTCTCCAGGAGAACTGATCTTGGTCATCTGGAGATCAGTTATAATAGCTGGGAAATTTTCTGTAGGGGAAACGATGTGCTGTGGCTGGGGAACACGGTGATTTCTAGAAGATCTCCATGCCCCACAGGGAGATTG